ATATATATTGTTGTGCGGAATTCGAGATAATACGAGAAAATATAAACGCGAAAAATGAGACAACAGATTTACGTGGTTCACCAATAAATTGGCTACGTCCACGGGGAAGAGAGGGAGCAGTTTTATTATGGACAGGCAAAAAGAGAATTACAGAATAGGGTTTGCCATAGCGTCTATATATAGTGCAAAGCTACGCCCTAACAGGCTTGGGCCTAAAATACAGAATTGACAGATAATTAAGGGCCCAATACAACAACATTGTATACCGTCGGGCCGGGGGCGTCTCCGCCCCCCGGACCCCCAGGCCAGGGGGCGCGTCGCCCCCCTGGACCCCCCGACTCGCTGATCGGGCAGCGACACCCCCGTCCTTTCTGTTGTAATGGGTCCGATTCAAGGCATTCAACATATATATATAAATGAGGACCATAGAGGAGGTGATGTGGCACCTCTATATGGCCTCCATTTGCATTTAGCTTTTTCCATTTTTTTAAAAAACAAAAAAGAATTTATATATCATAAAAAATTACTTAAATTTATTATAAATAAATATTTTATTAATGGTGGGTCATTTATAACAAAAACTCTTCATATTTTTTTATTTATTTATCTCACTTATAATTAAAAGAGAAACATAATTTATTTATTTTTGACTTTTTTCTAATTTAAATTATTTATTCTATTGTAAAAAGATATTACTTCATTTATAAAAATATACAAATAAATACTTTATTAATGTATGAACATTTATATAAAAAAAAACTCTCTATATTTTTTTTTTCTATTTGTTTATCGCACTTCTAATCATGAAATCATAGTATTATTTTTCTTACATTTTAAGTATTTTTAGTTTTATTTTTGAATTTATTCACTAGGAGTTACAACCCATGACTTGCCGCTTTTTAATTTTTACTTTTAATAATATTCATGACTCTCATAATTTTTATATTCATAACCTCCAATTTAAATTTATAAGTTTATGTGTCTTATGAAATTCCTTTATTTTGCCTATAAATTTATATTAGTTTCATGAAGATTTACGTTCACAATTATTCTTTCTTTTTTCATCATATAAGTTTGATTTGTAACAAAAAAAAGAAGTACATGAAGCTAAGATTACTTCATTGAAATTTTTATTTTTTATTTCCTCTATTTTTGTCTATATAAATTCGTATTTGATTTGTGAAGGAAACTAACAGATAAATTATTAATCCTAAAATGAATTTCAAAGTTAACAAAATAATATATTATATCTCATAAAGAATAAGTCAAAATTACATTTAATCATAAATTTTCCTACATAATCATTTTTGACAGATAATCAATATACATGTGTAGCTCAAAATCCAAAAAATATTATATATCATAAAAAATTACTTAAATTTATTACAAATAAATATTTTATTAATGGTGGGTCATTTATAACAAAAACTCTTCATATTTTTTATTTATTTATCTCACTTATGACAAAATAATCACTTATATTGTAAAAATATATTACTTCATTTATACAAATATACAAATAAATACTTTATTAATGTATGAACATTTATAAAAAAAAAAACTCTATATATTTTTTTCTATTTGTTTATATCACTTCTAATCATGAAATCATAGTATTATTTTTCTTACATTTTAAGTATTTTTATTTTTATTTTTGAATTTATTCACTATGAATTACTACACATGACTTGCCCCTCTTTAATTTTTACTTTTAATAATATTCATGACTCTCATAATTTTTATATTCATAACCTCCAATTTAAATTTATAAGTTTATGTGTCTTATGAATTCCTTTATTTTGCCGATAAATTTATATTAGTTTCATGAAGATTTACATTCACAATTATTCTTTCTTTTTTCATCATATAAGTTTGATTTGTAACAAAAAAAGAAGTACATGAAGGTAAGAAATACTTCATTGAAATTTTTATTTTTTATTTTCTCTATTTTTGTCTATATAAATTCGTATTTGATTTGTGAAGGAAATTAACATGTAACCAAAAAAAAAAGTACATGAAGTTAATCAATATATCATTCTCAAGTCCTTATTTTTTCATTTCCTTTATTTTGTCTATATAGATTCATATTTATTTTCATGAAGATTCACATACAAAGTTATAATTTCTCTTCTTCATAATACTTGTTTGTGAATTAGCTAACATGTAACAAAAAAAAGTATATGAAGGTAAGATATATTTCATTCTTAAGTCATTCTTTTTATTTTTATGTACTTAGAATGCTTTCTTAATATATATTTTTATGTTTGTATTATAATTTATCAAGTAAGTATGATTAAAAAAATCTCTTTAATTCTTAACAATGTTTTGTCCTTGTGCAATTACACTTTTTTTAATAGTTAGTTTTCCATATATAATATAGTTTGATTATAATATTTGTTAGATTTCAAGAAATAATTATTATTTAGTATTGTTATTACTATTGAAAAGATAATATATAAATATATTAAATATGGTTTATATATCATTCTTTCTTTTGACATAATTATTTTTAATTCGTATATGCTTGTTTTTTTATTCAGTTGGTTGCATATATGAAGAGTTTGACATATGGATCAAAACATGATGACAGATCTCTTTGCAAAGGAAGATGGTACAAGGAAAAAAAATTAAGCATAATTAGAGATTATTTTTCCCCTTTAAAATTTATTAGCAACTTAGTTACTTTTGCTAGAGTTTTTAAAATTTTTATTTATGTAAATAATTTAGCTAAATGTATTAATTGTCTGTCACGACCCAAAATCGGGCCGCGACTGGCACCCACATTTACCCTCCTATGTGAGCGAACCAACCAATCTAAACCTTAACATTTCAATGTAATATCATCATAAAATAATGCGGAAGACTTAAACTCATTAATAAAAACCAATTCAATAACTATTATTATCCCCAAAATCTGGAAGTCATCACCACAAGAACATCTATGATCAAATTACTAAACTAAGAGTATTCTAAGAAGCTAAAAATACATA